TCCCTGAATCCTAAGCCCCAAAAATATCAAACTCTAAACCCTGGATCCTCTATGTCTATGAAGTACTTGGACTATCATTGTATCCCTTCTCTTACCTTTGGTTACTAGGAAATGGAAGAATGGTAGCAATAGTCGTGAAAAGTGTAACCCCTTCCTCCATTCCCTACTAACCAAAGGTAAGTTCTGCCACCTCAGGGTCGAAGGAGTTACCACTATGGGCTATTAGACCTTAAGGGTACCTTAATCTACCCTTAATAGGGTCCTAATAGGGATCTTTAGGGTCTAATAGCCCATAGTGGTAGATGGAGAGGCCCAGGGATTCAGACTTACAGGGTTTTGAGTATTCCCTGCTTGTCGGGTATCATGGTCTTTGGGCAGGTTATACCTTAACTATAATGAGGAACCCTCGGAATAATATTGGTCCTTATATTACCTACTTGTCGGGTATCATGGGGAACTCAAGGTTAAGCTTTTCGGTTATACAGGGATTTTGTAGGGACTACTCTACGCCGATAAAGGTTAAAGGTGACCTACTCTATCTACTACTTGGTACAGGGTTTGGAATTTCCCTGGTTGGTGTGGGCCCGACTATTAGGAACGTCATTATGAGCATCCTCGCTGTGGCAGACACGTTTAGAAATCGGGTTATCTACATTAAGCATGTTTTCAGGATGCTGGCTCAAAGGATTTGGGGTTCGGGTTCACTTTTTGGGGGTGGCTGTGGAGGGCTTGCTGCTGCATGTCTATGTCCTCTGCGGGGGCCAGTGGACAAGGCACCAAAGGGCCTGAAAAAACCATGCTTTCGTCTCTGGCATGTGGTTTAGGATTGTGGGTTTGGGGTTTAAGGGTGTAGAGGTGAAGGTATTAAGGGTGCAAGGATTAGGGCTGGGGGCGTCGTGGTAGGACCTATGTCCAGGTATTGAGACATGAAGGCACATGTGGTTTCAATTGGGCCAGGCAAGAGCCATTATGTAACACCCTTCGGTTTGGAATCCAGAGTTTGCGGTATGTGGCTTAAATTTAAAGGTGCTGGTCTTGACGGCCGTTTCGGGTTTACAAGGCTCCACGCCATTACCCAATACATCTTCGTAGGAATTCTGGAATCTCGGGCATCTGGATTCGGTCCGTTACGGGTTCTATTAGGGATCTGTAATTCGGTATGTATAGGAATATACGGGCCTTCATGATTAGAACAGGAATTCGCGTACAAATATTGTATAGCTGTATAACTACACATTTAGACAGTACTGGTACTAGTTATATCCAGACCCCAATATGATGGGGGGCCGAGCGGGTACGGGTAGAGTTACGACGTGGGGTGAGGTGTCGCCAAGATCGACTGCAATACACGAACCCTCAGCAAAACCACGACGCCTTCTGCCTGCTCTAATTACTAATTTCGTCCCGTTGTAGCTTGGCCTTTCTTGGGTACTGATTGAGGCTGCAGAACTTTGAGCTATACGACAAAACAAACCAGGAAGCAAAAGCCCTAGACCTTTGACCCTAAATTCTTACACCTAAATTTTAAATGGGAGTTTCCGAAAATAGGGGAACCTGAATAGTAGGATCCTTATCATAAAGACCGCCAAATACTGTACCCCTAGCTTCAGGAAACTCCCAAGTCCGTCCTAAGTCTCAAATCTTGAAGCCACCCCTAAACCCTAAACCCTCAAGTATCGCTCCTGATCCTTCTCCTCCACGACAACTCCAATGTCCGTCCTCAACTGCAGAGAGTTTAGGGCTTCGGGATTAAGGCTGGGTTAGGGCTTCGGGATTAAGGGTAGTTTAGGGCTTCGGCATTAAGGGTAGTTTAGGGCTTCGGCATTAAGGGTGGTTTAGGGCTTCGGGAATAAGGGTGATTTAGGGCTTCGGGATTAAGGGTGATTTAGGGCTTCGGCATTAAGGGTAGTTTAGGGCTTCGGGATTAAGGGTCGTTTAGGGCTTCGGCATTAAGGGTGATTTAGGGCTTCGGGATTAGGGATTGCAAGTAGCAGTAGCAGTGGTTGAGGTGGAAGTCGTTCAAGTAGTGATCGTGGTAGTGTTGACATTTGCCCTATAGAAGCAAACGGAGCAGTTGAGGGCTTGCCTGCTTAGGGTTTAGCGTTTAGGTAGGAATTATCGCAGGTTGGGGAAGCTCCTAGGAACAAAGCTACATGTTCTGAAGGGGAGGGGGGGGGTTCGGGAAAAAGGCGCTAGTCCAGCTCCCACCCAGTCACTACTCCACTCACTTAAGGCAGAGAACTGCAGGCATGATGAACTGATACAGTCACCGGTGACCCTTCCAGCTACGACCCAAAGCTCACTTGGGGGCTGTTCTAAATTATGGTCCCTTTTTGGGTACCCTATATAATAAGGACTATACTACCATAGGGCCCAAAAAGGGACCATAATTTAGAACAACCCCCACTTCGAGTCCTCAAAGCCAAGACCTCAAGAGCCTGGCACCGTAAAGCCGAAACCTCCGACTTCACCCAAACATAACCCGACCCGCCTAAAACTTAGGTACTGCCCCCATGCAGTAGGGGTCTATAATAGGGCCACTATGAACGTCCTAATAGATCTATATTATGAATATTGTTCAACTATTACTGAGTGGAGGCCGTGCGCAACCTAAACCTGAACCTCAACACGTTCAACCGTAACCCTTCGAACTCCGGACTTGCACCCTCGAAACACTTAGCACTCCCAAAAAGATGTGGGCTCTCGATAACCCTGAACCCTAAACCTAAAGCCCAAAACTCCACCCCCTACCTGAACCCCCCAAAACCTACTTAAGGAATTGTATAAAGAAATCATATTAGGGAACCCCAAAAAAGTAGGTTATTTGGGGTCCAGGTAAACCCTACCCCCTAAACCCTAAAGCCCTAAACCCCAATTACACCCTGAACCCTAGCCTCTAAACCCTAAACCCAAGGCCCGAAACCTTACTTGGAGGGTCGGGGGACTTAGTAACTGGTTATTTTGGGGACTTATAAGTACCATAACCCCAATTAGGGTCTCTTTTAAGGTACTTATAAGTCTACTTATTAACTACTTACTAAGTCTCCCGACCCTCCAAGTATACACCCTAAACCCAAGCCTCTGAACCCCAAGACTGGCACCGGGCTCCGGACACCTGCACCTGGAGTCTGTAGGAGAGCCATCTCTTCAGTGCGTCCAAAGTACACGCCTTCCACTTAGGCCGAGAGGGTACCATAAGGCCATGGTGTTCAGGGTTTAGGGCTTTAAGGGGTTTTAAGGGTATAGGGTTGTAAAGGTTTACGGTTTAAGGCTTTTAGGGTTTAGGGCTTTCAGGGTTTAGGCTTTACGGTGTCTAGGATGCCCAGTAACCTAGGAATAAAAAGGCCTCTCTTTTTGGTATTGGGTAACTTTATAAGGAACCTAGGACTACAAAAAGGTAATAAGGGTACTACTGGGCATCCTAGGTGTAGGGTTTCGGGTCTGAGGGTTCTGATACGGGGTCCTTGAAGGCCGCCGCTTCCTAGACGCGTTGGGAGCGGTCGGGAGGCAAATCATGCTCGGCGAGACAGGCCCAGACCTTCCAAGATGCCTTAATTAAGGAATATACCTTAAATCATAATTGGATCCCTACTATGATTTAAGGTATATATTCCTTAATTAATTAAGGGATCTGGGAAGGTCTGGGCAGGCCCACACATGGATACGGACCCGTACACTTTGTTGAGTTCCTCAATCGCGTCTCTCGCCGTGGTCTTTGCATACTGGACCTGGGCCCCATCAATCGGACCCGTCAGTCTCGACCAGCTCTGATCGAGCTTCCAGAGACTGGCACCCCTCCAGAGGATGATGATATGCGTATTGCATTTCGGGACATCGGACTCGCTTTCCATCAGTGCAATCGTGTCGATGATATCCTTGCTGCGAGTATTCAGGAACCCAAGACACAGCATATCAGATTTTTCAAGGCTATACAATAAGGGATCATAGGGGTTCAACAGGCATTATGGGGTTTCTATCAGGGACTCCAAAACGTTCCGAAACCCCTTGAATAAGGAATATACATGCAATATTAAATTATGGATCCGACTATCAATTAAGACATCTTCCCCGTATTTTCTTGCCTACCGTTTGGGAGGGTCTAGGGAGCCAATTGTTCGTGCTTTTGTGAAGCTTCTTAGCAGCTCACGCATGTCTTTCAAATTTACTAGCAAGGTTCTATACGGGATCCATCAGTTGTTGAAGAGACTGCCATCTTCCGTCTCGTCGACCCTAAAATACTCATCATTTGCGAATACCCTATTTGAGGATACAAGGATGAAAGAACACTGCAGGGTTTAGGATTTAGCGTTTAGGTTCTGTGTAAACTGCAGATTTACCTGTACAGTCTTCTGCAATTACGCGTACTTCTCGATATGCAAACTACTTGGTGCTTTCAGAAAAAGCAGCAGGACCCTTAGCAAAATTACCCTTTGGGACTTGCAACAAAAGAGGTTCAGGTGAAGATAAAACCAAATACCCTAAAACCCTAAACCCGTAAAAGCCACCCACCTGAAAACCCTAAACCATACTAACAAAGAAGAAACACTGGTCACTAAGTAGGAATTTGGGTGCTTTCGGTGCATGCTGCCTAGTAGCCGCGCGACCCGACGACCCCCGAAACACAAAGTCCTTCAACGCTCTTTCAGTGTTTAAGTGTAGCTACCCAGACCTTCCAAAATGCCTTAGTTAAGGAATATACCTTAAATCATAATAGGATCCCTAATATGATTTAAGGTATATTCCTTAATTAAGGGATCTTGGAAGGTCTGGGTAGTACGCAGACCACGAAGGTTGTAGCAAGCTCGGCATCCTTATGAAGAGGCCAAACCTACGAAACGGCAAACCAATCCTGAACTCCAAAGTCTAAACCCCACCTGTAGGCCCATGCCCTGCCCCTTTCCTAGACCCCCCAACTACCCTCTAATATACATCACTAAAGACCAAACGGAGGCTCGAGGGTCGCAGCATGGGAGCGTAGGTTTACCGTAGGTCGAGAAGCCATGGAAAAGGGACGAGACAAAAGTAGAACACCCAAAGATGATCGCAAAACAAAAGATCAAGCAAAGAAGGAGGACAAAGCAAATGCAGCAACGAAGGCAGCCGCCAAGGAGGCAGAGAAGAAAACCACAGGCAAGCGCTTGGAGTTCACGCCGGAGCACAACGAGAAGAAAGAGGAAAGCGTAACACAACCAGACGAGAACAAGTCAGTAGCAGAAGCTGCAGCGCCAGAAAAAAGAACCAGGTTCAGTGAGTCAGAAGAGGAGAGTTCAGAGGCACGCAAGTCCAGTATATCAGAGGAATCCAGAAAGACGCAAGCATCAAAGAGTGAGACACCTTCTATGGCACTCACGACACTTCGCATGCAGGACATGACAGTCAGCACTCCCGTACGTAGTGATGGTACAAAGACTCCCCTGAAGATGCCACCAGCCAAAGAAGAGCGTAGACGATCGGTAAGTTCACATTCCAACGCCAGCTCATCAGACAAAACAGGTACAGAATCAGAAGAAGAACGCATGGACACAGAAGAAATCTCAGTTGAGGACATGCAGAAGGAGCTACGTTTGTTGAGGAAAAGGCAGCGCACAGAGCAGGAGGACACCAACAAGCGTTTAGACACGATGCAGCAGCAGCTGGAGGACACAACATATGATGTGGAGTCTCATGGTCGTATTAATGCACATCTTTTACAGAAGAAGCTACAAGATGACGCGAGGAATGCCTCGCTTTCGCTCTCCATTGAAGGCTTTCCAAAAGATGCCAGCGAAGAAGACCGTAACGCATTTGCAGATTGGGTACTTCATCAATCCAAGTCAAAAGATCGCGACGCCATCAAAAGTTTGATGAACACTAGGGGCGAGCTCAGCAACATCATCGTGATAAAGTTTTCCTCGGGATGGCACCGGAATCAAGTCTTTCAATGGTTCCTCGACAATTACATTCACAAGCGATTGAAGCTTTGGTGGTGGTCTATGGCAGCAGGGCGAGAATCCAATCATGAAGTTCGCATTCGAAAGTCGCTTAGCGAAGATGCGCGATTGAGAGGACGATTCCTGAAAGCAGCCATGGAATGCATAAATGGTCACAGTGTGGAGTTTTACCCAGTGTGGAACGAGAACGCGGTTCGCATCAAGTACTCTCACGACTACCTCATTTGGCTCCATTTCTCTTATGCAAATGCGACATGTTCTGTTTTCGCTGATGAGTCAATCTTTGATGATGTGCAGGCTCATTTCGAAGCCACCGTCGAGAGGATATCAGCGAGTACAGGGAGAGGGAAAGGCAAGGGAAAGAACAAAGAGCATGGTGAGGGCAGAAAGGGCAGTAGCAAGGGACTTTATGCAGCTATGGATTTTGCATTTGATGCAAGAAACCCGTATTGGACCAAATTCATTCTTGTACATGATTGGAAGAGTAATGTGCATGTACAGCAGGCGTTGAAGGATGAAGAGAAAGCACAAGAGATGATGGAAGAGGGGTAACGCGCTCCAAAGGGGCAGCTCTCAGTGTGAATCTCAGTGTGAACATGTCACGAACAGGGTACAAGCATCGATCATTTCATATGGCAGATCTCAGTGTGAATCTCAGTGTGAACATACGATGGACGCATTCACTAGATACACGGCTTCAGGTGGAGACCCTCAGTGTGAATCTCAGTGTGAATACGCGACGGACGAAGTCCGAAGCTCTCAATCTTCATATGGCAGTTATAGGAGGGAATACACACTACCCCACCCGATAAATACTTCCGTCCCCTCTAAACATCAGGTAATCTATCAATACACAGGCCTACCTTACCATAAGTACAATCGTTTTTATAAAGCTCCCGCCTTCATGAGGCGAGCCGGGTTGACAGCGCGGTCGGAGCCGTTGGAAAATAAACAGTTTTGTGATGTGACAGGTTTCCCCGCCCCAAACACTGCCCAGGATCCGAGCCAGCAGCGTCATCAGAATGACGACCCACACCGAGCTGCTTCACAATCAAGTTTAAGTGCGTATAAATATAAAACGAGAAGAGGAAATAGGAACAGTATCCGGAGATTTAGCCGTTATAAACAATGGAACGAAAACAGAACTGAGAACCGCCGAAATTGGCGCAAAATAAAATCATCAAGCAGCGAAGTGGTGAGGAAGATGATTGCAGCCTCTCCACTTGGTGATGCAATCCAAGAAGCTAACCTACTGAGAACAAACCTTAAAGACTACACGCAGGCGTCATCATCATCACAATTATCATCTTCACTTCAGAAACACAACGTCCGGCACAATGCCAAGAAGTTGCTTAGACATAGTAAAAAACAACATGATTGTCTTATACAAACATGGAAGAGACAACGACAAGTTATAACCCAACGACAAGCCGAAAGGAAGACCAGAACGAGAATCAAGAAAAGAAGCAGATCAAGTTCGTCAAATCAATGCGTGTCAGAAAGTTACCATAACCACAATAGTCAGAGTTGCCATAGCCACAATGGAAATTCTCATTCACCCAACAAAACGACAGCAACGAAGCTAAGGTATGCGGAAAAAGTCACCGTTGCATCTTTAAATTGCCGAGGGCTTGTTGAAGCAGGAAAGCGCGAACAAATCATGCAGATTATGCGAGAACACCGCATCGACATCATGGCCATACAAGAAACTAAAGTCAGTTCCAGTTCAGAAGAAACAAAAGTGCAAGACAAGACTGGTGATAAATTCAAATTCGTTTTTAGCTCTAATGTGCAAGAACAGCATCCGAGGTCTGTTCAGGTCAACCGACCTGGCAGGCGCGCAAACGCAAAGTCAAAAGCAAAAGCCAAAACAGCAAATAAAGTCATTGAACATCATGGAGTGGGTTTTGTTATAGGTCCTAAACTTATTGATCATGTTAAAGACTGTATCCCGCACAGCAGCAGGTTCATAGAAGTTTTATTGGCCAACCACGGCCCAGACATTTGTTTTGTAAACCATTATGCGCCACACAGTGGCAAACCACTGGAGGAGAAAATGCAACACTGGGACATGTTACAGGATATTGTACATGCCCGCGGGAAGCATGGTCCGACATTTATTTCGGGTGATACAAACGCCAGGCTACACGGCAGTATAAGCCAAGTCGAAGATCAAGTTATGGGCAGACATGTTTTTGGATACGGCCCACAACATGTCCCAAACCTCCCAGAAGTACAACGAGACAACCGTCAATTCCTAATCGATTTTTGCATTACAAATGAATTTGCAATCATGAACACATTTTTCCCGAAGCCAGATCACAAGAAATGTACGTACAAGGATGCTTCGACAGAAGGTTTCAAGAGCCCATGGACTCCAGATAGGTTCGCACAACTAGATTTTGTTTTAGCACCCAACACTTTTCGAAATAGTATCACGGATGTGGAATCAAGACCTGACATTGCGTTCAACAGCGACCACGCCATCGTTACAGCAGCAGTAAGGCTCAAACTGAAGGCCCATGCCCCGAGGAAAAAAGATCCGGTAGTAAGATACTTCCTTCCGACTTCAGGACAAAAAGAGACCTACAACGAACGGATTCGCAGCATGTTTGTCTTGGAGCATGGACAAGACGAGGGCTTGTCCAACTGTGAGCGTTTTGCTATGGCAATGAAGACCGCTGCAAACCAATCCTTTCTCAGACGACATAAAGCCATTGCAAAGCCTTATATAAGTGATGAGACATGGCAGTTGATAAAGGATAGACAAACAGCTAGAGATAATGGCAAGATAGAGGAGGAGAAGGCATTGAACAAAGAGATTACAAAACAAGCGCGTAAAGATAAACAGTCATGGAAGATGGAGCGACTGCAAGACTTGTCTGATGTAAAAGAAGCTTGGCGTAATATTCGATACGAGAAGAAACCTTTTGTCCCTAATTTCTATAGCATGAAAGATATACACGGCAACAGGGTACCCATGAACAAGAAAGCACATGCCTTGGCTGAGTATCTTTATGAAAGACAATGGGCACCTAATAAGAATCCTAGTCCTGTCGATCCCCATAGAAGACAAATCATTGACAATAATTTAAACATTCCGACAGGTGAGTTCTCATGTACCGAAGTTCAGGAGGCGATTCGAAAGCTGAAAACAAACAAGGCTCCAGGTCCAGACGGAGTGGTTAACGAACTTTTCCAATACCTCGACCTAGAAAACATTCAACAACTTACACGATGCCTGAATGTTTTGTGGAACAAAAAACATGTGCCCGATGATTTTGCATTTGCTCAGATAGTGTTTTTGTACAAGAAAGGAAATCATGAAATTCCTGAGAATTATAGGCCAATATCTTTATTGAATACGACTTACAAAATTTTCGCATACATTCTCAAAGCTAGAATAGCAAACGCTATTGACGCACACATTGGAAGTACACAGTTTGGTTTCCGGAAAGGCAGGTCAACAGCCGAAGCTCTTTTTTGCGTGCGACGTCTCACCGACGTCGTTGAACAAGGACATGAACGTTTGTTCCTGATATTTTTAGACTGGGAAAAGGCCTTTGATAAGATTGATCATGAGAAGATGTTCACGTCGCTTGCTAGATTGAACATTCCCAATGACATGTTAGACGCTATCAAAGCTCTCTACCGCATGCCAATGTTCCAGGTCGATCATAATTCACATACAAGCAGCCGTTTCACACAGCGTACAGGAATCAGACAAGGCTGTCCCCTCAGCCCTTTTCTGTTTATTCTAACGATGCATGTCATGTTTTCTGATGTAAAGGACAGCTTTAATGACACGAATCGCAGAAAAACTTTCCAGGGCATCAATTTTCAAGAGTTGTTGTACGCGGATGATACATTAATCGTTTCAAAAAGCCAAAAGACTGCCAATGACTACTTACATTTAGTTGAAGAAGAGTCCGATTACCTGCATTTGAAACTAAATCAATCGAAATGTTGTTTCCTTGCATATAATGCCAGAGGCAATATATGCTTCAAGAGTGGGGAAAGAATGAAGTGTGTACAAGAGACGACTTATTTGGGAGCATCGGTCTCAAAACGAGTTGACCCCAGTCAGGAAATCCGTAGACGAATCTCTGCTACAATGGTCATCTTAAAAAAGCTGGACATCTTTTGGCTTAAAACGAATTGTAACAAGAAATGGAAGTTGTTGGTCTACAACGCCGTCATTACAAGCAAACTTCTTTATGGGTTGGAGACATTGGAACCCACAGAATCAGCGGGAAAATTGCTCAATACTTTTCAGCTGAAAGGATTGCGAAAAATTCTTCAGTTACACACTACGTTTATTAATCGCAGCAACACAAACGAGTACGTGTACAAAAGAGCTAACGAAGTCACGAATGCCCCAAGCGCGGGCATACACCGAAAAATCAAGCCCCTCACAGAAGTTCTCGGAGAACGGAGACTAAAGCTGTTAGGACATGTGTTACGTCGGGACCGCCAACATCCGTTGCATCAAGCCGCTTTCAAAACGCAGTCTGCTGTGCCAAGAGAAACAGAACAACGGAGAGTAGGCCGTCCAAGACAGTTTTGGACTACCACGAATATGGAAAAAGCTTGGAACATAATCACATCAAAAGATGTCTCGATTCCGAAGGTGCCTTTCAATAAACACGACCGAGCAATACGAGAGACGATTATTGATCATGCCAGAAGATACCAACCACCTTTCCAGTGATCATACATCTATTGAAGGTCGCAAGTGTGTTGGTTGGTCTCAGCTATTATAAACAAATCGTTGTGAAGCAGCTCGATGTGAAGTCTCTATGTGAAGAAACTCAGTGTGAAGCTCAGTGTGAAGCTCAGTGTGAAGTTCTCTCTGTGTGAAGTAACTCAGTGTGAAAGCCTTATATAGGAATCAAAGAAGTGTAAAATCAGTGTTTATGAACATTCATTGCAACAGTGACGCCGGGACCGTAGTAAATTAGCAGGAAGTAGGTTAGCGCCAACGACTTGTTGCTTGTGCTGCAAGTTAAGGTAGTAAAAAAAAAAAGACCAAACGGGTTCTATTAAAGGGTACTTGGGCGGTGCTGGTTCTTCAGGGCTTTTCTATACAACAGATAATAAAAACTGGGTATCCTAAAGCAGGGGGCAGGGCATGAGCCTCTCGGCAAAGCCCTGAAACCGATGCCCTAAGCTGAAATTCCGGACCCTGAACCGTTAACCCCTTGAAAAACAAGAAACCTACACCCTAAACCCAAAGCCCTGCCCATAAATCGGAACAGATGTTCGACGAACCTCGAGCGGTAAGTTCCAATAATATAACCGAAACCAAAAACCTCAAAATCGCCTAGGTGTTCATGGGACTCATATGGTAAGCAGGGTTGTTAATGAGGTAACTATACTTGTAATCCGTTGTAACCCCACCTAAGGCACGTAGAACTGTACTAAGTTCCATGAACCGCCAAGCGTAATGGCTACAAGCCCTACACCGCGTACTGTAGGGTATTTAATAGGTGGAGTCGGGTTCCTTGTAAGGTTTTCTTTAAACCTCTATATATGGGCCACTATAAGGGTTG